TAGCCTGCCAAACCGAAGAAACTCCAGATCTCTGTAGCTGATGTGGGTCGAGGCCAGTTCTTGACTACCTCTATGTTCTTCGGATCCACCTAAATACCCTCTGCTGAAACAACGTGACCCAAGACTGCAACTGAACTCAACCAGAACTCACACTTTGAAAACTTAGCATACAACTGACTATCTCTCAAAGTCTGAAGAGCAACTCTCAGATGCTGCTCATGCTCCTCCCGACTGCGGGAATAGATCAAAATATCGCCAATGAAGACAATCACGAAGGAATCCAAATAAGGCCTGAACATTCGGTTCATGAAATCCATGAAAGATGCTGGGGCATTCATCAACCCGAATGACATCACCAAGAACTCATAATGCCCGTACCGAGTGCGGAAGCTGACTTAGGGACATCGGATGCCCTAATCCTGAACTAATGGTAGCCATATCTCAACTCAATCTTCTAAAATACCTTGGCACCCTGAAGATGATCAAACAAATCATCGATCCTCGGCAATAGATACTTATTCTTGATTGTAACCTTGTTCAACTGCCGGTAATCTATACATATCCTCATCGATCCGTCCTTCTTCTTAACAAACAACACCGGCGCACCCCAAGGCGAGACACTAGGCCTAATAAAGCCCTTATCAAACTACTAGAAAACAAATTTATTGGAACGGTTTTTGGGCAACGGTTCTGTAACTATTACAGTAAATCATATTTTGGAATGGTTTTAACCGTCCCAATAGAGCCAAAAGGCTTCTGGCACACTTCTGAACAATAATCGTTCCAATAGTTTAGTAACCGTCACCATAAGTAAAGATATGGAGACGGTTTGGATATGCGATACAATTAGGTTATTTGTGGGAACGGTTTTGTGAAATAAAAAGCTATAGGGACAGTTTAATTTCCCTCCTTATTTTTCCTCCTAAGTATTTATTAAAAAATAAAAATAATGGACCCCACTAATATTTTAATAATTCTAATATGTAAAACTAACCTAGAACACATCGATGACTCCTTACTTCAATCAGCAGAGATCGACTTCCCCAAAGACACCCCTTTCTCTGTTCTTCAACCTAGAACACACCGACGTCATCTCTCCGGTGAAGGATTATAATTTCCGGCGAAGGACGACCGTTATCGGCTAACATACCACAATCTCCGAGGTAGGATTTCGGTTTTTTACCCTGTTCGATGTTTGCTATTATTGTTCGATTTTCGCTTTCTTCTTCCCTAGTCTGAAAAATTATTTCATTGTTCCTTCTATTTTCTTTCTTTGATAATATTTCTAATAAATCCATTATTTTGCGATGCTTCATTTTTGTTTGTATTATGCGATATATTTTGTGATTTTTAGTTTGCGAAATTGGGGGATTTATTTGTTAGGTTTTGATTTTGTGTTAGAAACCATGAGATTTGATGTTTGCTATCGATGTTCGATGTTCGATGTTCGTTGTCTTGTTCGTTATTCTGAAAATCGTTATTCTGTATTATACGTGGGAATGCATGGAGTATTCTGCTAGTGATTTGCTAGCTGTAAGCCACGGCAATGTTTGGTTTCTTTTATTTCACTCGATACGAGTATTCTGAAGTTTATTTGGCTTATTTACTGTTGCCCAAGCTCTGTTCGTTTATCGATATTTAGATTTATTGTTTGCCCCTAATTTGAATATTGTCTTTATTAATTAATTTCTTCAACAATCCATTCTTTATATTTTCTACCAGATTGGTTTCTACCTTATTTTCAGGATATAATATCAGAAATTAGAGTCTTTTCTTACTTGTTCTAATTAACTCTGTGTGTGTGTGTGTGTGTGAATTTAGGGTGAGAAAATGTTGAAGTTGATAACAAGCAGACCAAGGCCAAGTGGTTTTGGATTAGTTTCAACTGCTGAACAAGTTATTGATGCCTTCATAGCCAATTGGCAATCTATATAAACAGTTAAATTGTAAGATCATAGCATAAAAGTAAAATAGATGCTACTGTTATTGCACATTTGCACTTCTTCTGTTAAGTGTTAAATTTAATGCTACTACAGCAGGCCAGCACGCTTGTTCTGTTAAGTGTTATTGCACTTGTTCGCCGTTAAATGAATTGGGTAGTTGAATTTGAATCATTTTTAGTGCTTGTTTTCATTTCCATATTAGGAGTGTTAGGTTGTTGAATTTGAATCATTTTTTGTGCTTGTTTTCATTTTCAGATTAGGAGTGTGTGAACTAATCAACTAATAGAGAAAAGTTGCATCAATCCAGGAAGGTAGAAGCCATAATATTAAAGTAGTTATGTGTAAAGTAGTAGCGTTCGATGCCATTTCTTAGTTTCTTGTGCGGTAGTCGTATGTAGAGTAGTTGATTTAAATATTTATGCTGCTTGAATGCTATATTAATCCTGAAAGCTCATAAAAGTCTCATGTTTAAAGCAGTGTTATTAAAAGCGAGCGCTTCTCGCTTAAAGCGCAAAATCAAGGCGAGGCGAGGGGTCTACGCTTTTCTGCCCTGAAGCAGGTAAATTTCTCTTCTTCTCTTCTCTTCTTCTGCTTCTTCTCTTTTTTCTCTTCTCTTTCTCTTTTGATTTCTCTGCTACTGTTCGACTCCTCTCATCTTTTCTCTTTCCTTTCTATTTTTGTTAGTTCTTCTTTTCTATTCTGCCTATGTTCAAAAAAAAGGTACCTGGTAATGAAATTAGCTTTGTGATAATCTCTTTCTCTATTTCCAAGATTTAGTTCTTTATTGTTTCGATTTTTTGCCTATGACTTTTTATTTTGGGGCTGTCGTAAATTTAGCTTATCAAAATTTACTTACTAATCTAATAATGCTCCTATGAAAAAAAAACTCATAATGATTTAACTAGGTAAAAGTATCCCAGTGAATGATGTTGGCTTTATTTTCTTCTGGGTTTTCTAAGAAAAGGCATATTATTTGCTTGAACTAATATTCTAGGTATTTCGAAATATATATGTTGTTTTAATGATTGTAGTCAGACATATATATTTTTAATGTTAAGCTATATTTTTACTCCTACAGTAGCGCTAATACATCTACTACAGATGACACAATAGTAGGCTTTTTTCAAAGGAAACATAACTGGTCACTACTCAGTATTCAAATTTTATAAGTTACAACTTTTTCCATGTATTAATTAGCATGATTTGTATATTAAGTATAACATCAATACAGCAGAGTGAACCACATGATCCATAGAGGTCGGTTATTACGAAAAGAGATTTGTCTTAGTCTAATCTTTGGACAATGCTAGCGATAGGTCTCACCAAGTCCTATTCATGCGTACTAATTACTTTAATTTTCTCGAAGTGCTTTTGTTCCAAAACTATATATACGAATATGCATGTTTGCTTCTTTTCACATTGAGTGTGGAATGTGGATGATTCGACGAGGGGCACAACAAAATAAGAAGGGCAACCGAGAAAAATGAGAGCGTGAAAGGCTAAGATAGACAAAAACGATCCTTTTTTCTTCGATTTGTCATTCCAAATTCATGGAGATGTCATTGACTTTATAGATCACCTTATTCTACCAATATCTACTTAGTTAAAATTGATAGATATCCTGTGGAGTGGCCACATGATTTAGACCTCATCAATTTGTCCCTCTGGCTTAAGGCAAATGTCATGCTGGAGTATTCAAGGATGAGCCGCGACTAGCTATTGAAAATGCCTTTGCATAGCCTTGCATCTTGCATATTTGTTATAGAATTGTACTGCTGTTGTTGAATGATTGTTACATACATCTGCTCTTATTCAAAAAAAAACTTAGGAGCATGTGATAGAACTACATGTGATTTTTTGTTGTCAGCAAGATTTGTGTGATATTATTTCCGGTCACTAAGCAATTATATTTTTTTCGATGCTCGTATTCAGTTCAAACATTTACCAGCGTGATGAAATTCAATTTTGCTCAGTAGTTAGTATCAATCTTTCTGCTTCCTTCATCCTTAGTTTTTCCTATTTTACATGTGTGCTACTTACTTTGTTTTCAAAGTATAACGTACAACTGGTTAGTCAATTCCTTCTTAGGTATAATGCTTAATTACACATTAAAGTAACAGAGTTATGCCTACACCAAATACTCATTTGTACAAGTAATACACTTAAATCTGCCACTTAGATGCTTATGAAAGATTTTGTTGTGGGATATATGTGGTTTTTATCCTCCATTTTATAACACTCAGCTCAATAATTGCCTTGTGCCAAGGACGCGTACTCAGCCGTGGGTCTAGTACTCTGTTCAGTTTCTTCCTTCTACTTTAATTTTGTACTTTCTGCTTCTAATGGCTGGTCAATAACCTATTTTTTCTAGTGGAAGTTTTGGTTGTTCTCGTGGAGTCAAACGTTTGAATAGGACTCTTAAATCTTCCGTGCGAGAAAAAGTAGATTGGAAAGGGACCACTAATTACAATTGAGAACCAAACTAAGCACCGTAGGATTCTGGTTTGACTCAATCATTTGAATGTTGTGGTTTTCTTTCCACATGTATGTAATTATATAGAGGATAAATTATACTTGACCTTACGTATATCACGCACAAGACATCTTATTTAGCTGATGAAACTATGGTGCATGTTTATCTCTCTGACCATGAGTTCTACCATCATAAAACTGGCAATGGCATCAAATTACTGTTAAGGACTACCCAAATTGATGACATCGTGAGATCTCCACTCTTTTACAAAATCATTGTACTACATACCTTATGTTACACGTGCCGAGAGACTAGTATAACTAAAAACAGAAAGAATAATAAATCTAGAAGTTCAAGTGCTCAACAGAAAGGATGGTTACTAGAAAGTTGATTCATTTTGTAGTTTCAGGTTCACTAAGTAGTATCTGAGGTAGTTTTAGATGCCTCACCTTATTTATGAAGACGATAATGTGCAGTAATTGTTTGAAAATTGTGATATGCATTCGGAAAATGAAGTGGTGATGTCCTTACTTCTCTTTGGTTTGCCCCCTTCCTCATGTCTTTCCTTATCTGTTGGACATCATCAAACCTTTGCCTTCTTATTTTTTCTCAGGGTGCTGCTCGCAAATTAGCTACACAGAGAAAGAATATAGAGGTCGTTGAATTTGCTGGTGTAGCAGCGAAGCGAGTGAAGCTGCCAGCCTATTTAATTAAAAAAGAAGGGATCAATGTACTTTTATTAAAACACGACCAGCAGCAATAATGACTAGGGTTCCCTTTCCAACTTCAACAGAGATTCAGCGGCAACAGGTATGTCATCTTCTTCTTCTTCTTCTTCTTCATCATCATCTTCTTCTTCTTCTTCTTCTTCTTCTTCTTCTTCTTCTTCTTCTTCTTCTTCTTTTCACTGTTTCAGCGTCCAAATAGCAGCGAAATGCTGGCAATTTTTTTCTTTACCTTCTGTTCTTCTTTCCAAGTCTTCTCCTCTTCGTTGAAATGCTGCCTAGTTCTACTTTCATTGTTTTCATGCTGCCCAGTTTTAATAGAATGTTATACGGCCCTTCCTCTGAATATCATAAGTAGGTTCAACTTCGGAATACATGTTGCTAGTTATAAGTGAAATTGGATCATTGTTGCCTTTTCTTTTCCTGGATATCAGAATGATATAATGCTGATCTTCTAACATTCTTCTGCTGATCTTAATTTTTAAGTATTTGCATTACTTTTCATGCTACACACTGATAAGATTTTGGGACGTCATTAACTTAATAAAATTCATTGTTCTTGCTAAATCTAACAGCCACTATTTGTTAAAATGTTTGTTATTGATGAAATTTGCCTTACGTAGCTGTTTATGTGACGGTTTTGGTGACTGTTAAATTTCACAACAATGAAATTAATATAATTTTTAGAATGTGGCTTTTTTCTATTCTTTCTTATTAGCCGATTTTTTCGATTGAAAGTATATAAACCAAATTTATATGGTTGTTTTGTGTCATATAGGATAAAACTAATTTAATGGATAACGGAGATAAAAGGTGGATGAGCCTCTGAAGGTCAACTGATGAGTACATACAAGGAGTAAATAATTTTCTTGATAAGGCATTTGAACGAACTTCTTAAGGAAATAAAATATTATGCCCTTGTAAAGAGTGCGCTAATTATTTATGGCATTATAGGAATGTGGTGGAGGATCACTTGATTGTTAATGGGTTTGTTCATGGATACACCAAATGGGTTTTCCACGGGGAAGGATTTTCCTCGAGAAAGACTCCATGCCCAAGCAATAATGATGAAGGTTCCGAGAAGCATGATGATATTGATGGATTACTTCATGATACATTTCGAAATGTCGAGGGGTGGACCTTCCGAGGATGCAAAAAGATTCTTTAAATTAGTAGAAGAAGGAAAAGATGAATTATATCCAGGGTGTGAGAATTTCTCCAAATTGGGTTTTACAATTCGCCTGTACTTTTTTAAGTGCATTCACGGGTTGAGTAATGTGGCATTCACAGACTTACTGGAGTTGTTAAAAGAGGATTTTCCATTTTCTCAGCTATCATGATAAAAGATTTGGGTCTTCATTATAAAAAAAATACATGCATGTCCTAATGATTGCATGTTGTTTTGGAATGATAATATAAATGCAGATACTTGTTCTGTGTGTGGGTCTTCTGGATGGAAGAATGTTGTTAATGTCTTGACTAATAAAAAGACCAAAATCCCCGCAAAGATTTTAAGGTACTTTCCATTAAAGTCTCGCCTTCAGAGGATATTCATGTGTCCCGAAACAGCTGCAGCTATGAGATGGCATGCCACTGAACGACCGAATGATGGAAATATAAGACATCCTGCTGATGGTGATGCTTGGAAGGAGTTTGACTCCTTGCACCCTGAATTCTCTAGCGACCCTCGTAATATTAGATTGGGTCTTTCAAGTGATGGTTTCAAGTCGTTTCGAACAATGAGTATTTCCCATAGCACGTGGCCTGTTATGTTAATGAACTATAATCTATCGCCTTGGATTTGCATGAAGCCAGAGTATATAATGTTGTCAATGATCATCCCAAGTCCTTCATCTCCGGGAAATGATATAGATGTGTATCTACAACCACTAATTGCTGAATTAAAAGAGCTATGGGAATTCAGTGTAGAAACATTTGATGCTGAATCTAACCAGATGTTTCAAATGCGTGCAACCTTAATGTGGACAATTAGTGATTTTCCTGCACTAGCAATGCTTTCTGGTTGGAGCACAAAGGGAAAATTTGCATGCCCCACCTGTAATTATGGCACATGCTCTCAATATCTCAAGCATTAGTCGTAAGATGTGCTACATGGGTCATCGTGCATTTTTGCCTCCTGAACATTCATTTCGAAGAGATAAGAAATCATTTGATAGTAAGGAGGATCATAGACTTGCAGCCACTCCTTTGTCGGGTATGGAAGTGCTCGAAGAGTTGTGTGAATTCAAGAATGTCTTTGGAAAAGGCCAAAAGAAAAGGTCTCGGGATAACAAGGGTCCATGGAAGAAAAGATCCATCTTCTTTGAATTACCATATTGGAAAACTAACAAATTGAGGCACAATCTTGATCCGATGCACATTGAAAAGAACATATGTGATAGTATTCTTGGGACATTATTGGAGATAGATGGAAAGTCAAAAGATCATGTAAATTCTCGTTACGATTTGCAGGAAATGGGAATACGAAAAGAGCTTCAACCAATACAAGATGTTGTAAGTGGAACAATATCTTTGGCTAAAGCTTGTTTCTGCATGAATCCAGAAGAGAAGAGTCGATTTTGCATCGTCTTTAAAAATGCCAAATTGCCAAAAGGGTGTGCCTCGAATATATCACGTTTGTGCATGAGAAAGAGATGAAAATATTCGGGTACAAGAGTCATGATGCTCATTTTATAATGCATTATTTGCTCCAAGTTACTATTAGAAAATCATTACCCTAGAATATTTCTTTGGCATTGATTAACTTGGGTAACTTCTTTAAAGCCACATGTGCCAAGGTTATAAGGCGAGAGGATCTTGATAGATTGCAGACTGAAATCAATGATATTACATGCGAGCTTGAAATGATTTTCACTCCAACCTGTTTTGATAAAATGCCCCATTTGCCTATTCATTTAGTAAATGAAATTAAGCTTGGGGGTCCAACTCATTATTGTTGGATGTATTCTACTGAAAGAAATTTGTGCAAATATAAGGCGTTTGTTCGTAATCGAGCTCATCCAGAAGCGTCAATTGCAGAGGGGTTTGTGGCCGAAGAGTGCTTGACTTTTTGTTCGAGATACCTACATGATGGGGTGAAGACAAGATTCAGTAGGTACCAAACTGAGGATGATGGGGACATTGAAGGAGCAAAATTGTCACCTATTTTTCCTAAAATAGGCCATCCAATTGGAAGTAAGAAAAAGAGAAAAGGAAAGATTTTTACTATGGATTTGCAGTTATGTTCTGAGGCACATAGATATGCTCTCTTCAATACTCAAGATGAACAAGTAGAGGCATTTATCATGTAAGATGAAATATATTACCATCACTTTTATTATAAGCTTTATTTCATTTTATATTTTAAGATTTTTAAATTTAATTGATAAAGGCCTAATGAATAAATTTGAAATATATGGCTTGCAGGGAACATAAGAATTTAATTGATAATCATACTAGATCAAATGCATGGGTAAGAGCAAAAAATCATAGTCGAAACTTTGCTGACTGGTTTAAAGAGAATGTAAAAAGCATTGACGTGCCCAATCATTTGCGATGGCTAGCTAAAGGGCCTAATACATTGGCTAAACGATATACTGAATATTTTATCAATGGCTACTTATTTCATACAATGACGCGGGATGCCCCGTTGAAGATACAGAATAGTGGAGTGATTTTGTCAGCAACAACGGATAGTTTTGCTAGTTCTAGGGACCAAAATCCCATTGATGGACAGGTTCTGTACTATGGAGCTATTCAAGATATCATTGAGATTGATTATTGGGGCCGCTTTAGTGTCGTATTGTGTGATTGGTTTCGTAATGAAGTTGATGAATATGGGTTAACTCAGGTATACTTTAACCGATTATGTAGTACTGACGACTCTTTTGTATTGGCATCTCAAGTGCATCAAGTTTTTTACATAGAGGATCTAATTGAGAAGGATGTTTATTATGGAAGGAATAAAGTCCCTGTTGATTTTTATGATTTGGAGGAAGAAAATATTCCTAATGTTGGGGAAATATTTTGGAGGGAGCCTAATGATGACGTCGGTCCATCAAATAGATTGGTCGACAATGATATTAGATGGTCGAGAGAAGATGTACCTCTTGATGTTATTGATATTCCAGTTGATGCACACCATTGTCAAGATACAGATGTGGAAATATCAGAAGAGGAGGATGAGTTAGATGATACGGATTGGGATTGGATGGAGGCTGATGACTAAAGAAGGAACTTCTGATTTTTATTTGTATTTTTAAACTTCATTGTCGTCTTTCGAACAATTTTTTGTTCTTGTATATGCTCTTGGACTTTTTAGTTTGTTTCAGTTTCAAGCTTTTGTAATATGCTAAGTAATTGAAACTTTAGTCTGATATATGGAGCTATTTTAATATGCTTTAGTTCAAACTTAGTTTGTTTCCGTTCAAGCTTTTATAATATCCAAGCACTTAAGTTCAGCAGATTAAATCCTATTTACCACTTCCACTATAGCATTACAATAAAGATAGAAAGGCAAAGAAAGAGCAAAGGTTGATTACTGAATGATTGAGTAGACTTAGAATTCAGTAATATATTATATATCTAGGACAATAAGTCATGATAATTGACATCTTTTGTTTTAAATTTTCTGTTCTTGCGTATGACGTTAGCATTTGAACTCCATTTAAATCTACATCTACTGTGTAGTCTCATTAGTATTCTATCTTATTTATCTTTGTATTCTTCATCAGATTCTGACAGACATGTGTCAAGAAAGACCTTTAAAGCCCAAAAGAAAGACAAGTGCGACATACGCAAAACCTAGAACAATGGCATCTTTGGCAAATCAAATAAGGAGTTCGTTTAGCCAAAAATATGATGTTCCCGCTAGACAATCAAAGAAAGATCTTTCGAATATTATTGAAGAGAATTTGCCACAATATCCAGGAGTAGTAGCCCATGTACAAACTAGATCAACCACTGCTGCAAAATATGTTGTTCCTCCTAAACAATCAAACATAGAGCATCCGAATATCATTGAAGAGAATCTGCTACTGCCACAATATTCAGGAGTGGCAGCTCATGTACAAACTAGATCAACCACTCCTGCCACACAAGTAACAGATGAACAAGTGGAGGAACAAGTTCAGTTGGATTCTACAACTCCTACTGTAGATGAACAATCTGAAGAACAATATAAGAACTTATAGATTTTATCTGAAAATATTTACATCCTATTGCAGTCATATATAATGTATCAACAATACTGATTTGGTGGTTTTTTTTTGTTCATATAATTGTAGGCCCTTCTATTCAACCAAGAAAAAGAGGTAGAACAAAGATGAAAAATGTACATGGACGCCAGGAGCGTAAAGTGATTTTACTTAACAACTTAAATCAACCCGTTGGTCCTAGTGATAAAGTTGTGATAGAGTTTGGAAGCTTCCTTGGCACATTGGCAAGGAATGCGACTCTATGTCCTCTTGATATTTTGGATTGGAGGAAGATGGACACAAAAGAGGATATATGGGAATATACCAAGGTCTGAACTTCTTAATTTTCAATTTTTGGTTGAAAATCTCATATCTTCTGCACTAACAGATTTGACATCAATTGTAGGATAAGTATGATATTCCTAAAGTTGGAAAACAATATACTTTGGAATCAGTGCAAGCTTCCAGGAGAAAGCACAAGAGTAGATTGAAAAAGGATCACTTTGAGTCCTATCACAATGATGAAGCTCGATTGCAAAATATCCCTGAAGATGTTCCAGCTTCTCAGCTTAAGGAACTCCTTAGGTATTGGAACTCAGAGAAACTCCAGGTATATGTACTTCTTACTTCTTCTTCTTCTTCTTCTTCTTCTTCTTCTTCTTCTTCTTCTTCTTCTTCTTCTTCTTCTTCTTCTTCTTCTTCTTCTTTTTCTTTTTCTTTTTCTTTCTAAATGTCCAAAAAGCGCCGAAATGCTGGCGATTTTTTTCCAGAAAAATTCTGCCCAAAAGCGCCGAAACACTGGTCTGTAATTGTTGTGTTGTCATATGGTCGTCGACATATCGTAAAAGCAAATATGCTGAACTTGCTATTGAAAAGTTATGGTCTTAAGCATCCATAACTTGCTATTTGTACGAACGATATTTTTGTGTAAGTTGTCTCTTTTTGTGTTAGTGCTGATGGCCTTTACCGAAGGTCTAGCTTTAATCATGGTCGAAGAAGACAGAAGCTAGAGTTAACAGTTTCTGCTACTTATTTCTTGTCCCTGATAATCTGCAGTATGATCTGCATGTGTATGAAAATCCAAAGTAGCTAGTAGTATACAGTGAGGAGTTTGTTTAATTATCAATTAATTGCAGTCCTTATATTACTGATTAATTTTTGCTCTCAGTTTTCTTTCTTCCATTATGATCTCTTTTAGCAAGTTTCTATGCTGCCGTTGAGTGAATATGCAAAAGCTGATCATTCTATTTAACTTCAGAAAAATCAGTTCTATTTTTCAATTATTTATATGTGTGTATCATGTATCTTCTTGCGTATAATCTGTTCCTCTGATTTAGATATAAAGAAGCAGCATGCGATCATTTTAGCTGGCCATGTTACGTAGTTCTTGAAGAAATAAAGATTGATCCTACAATATTTACAAAAAAGAGCAAGAGTGTTACAATCAAAAAAATAAAAAAAAAACAGATTTAAAGAGGGATCAAATTCTTATACCTTAATTGAAAATGTTAACGCATGAGTGAATAGATCTATTCAGCATATCCGCCCTCTTGATTCCAACAGTCTGTATAGAATCTGCTGGGCAGTTGCAAAAGGTGGAGAGTTTCGGCAAAGGAAGTCTTTGTAGCTACAAGAAAAAGGAAAGCTGGGCGATCATACAAGTGCTCAGATGATGATACAACTAGTAAAATTGTGCGAATTATATTTAACTGATATTATATCGAGATCAATTATTTGTTTTTATTAGTATACTTTTTATTTACTTGTTCTATTTGTTTGAATTTGCTTTGAAGGCTGAAATGGTGGAAATTGAAGCCCAACAAAACAAAAATGGCAATGAGTCCGTAGATGCATTTGCATCTGTCATGGGGCCTGAACATCCGGGACGTCTGAGATTATATGGACGAGGGGTTACAAGAACTTCTTTGAGAGGGAAAGTAGGATGTTTTGAATCTTCTTCAAATACTACAAATTCTATACAAAAAATGGAGGAGAAGATACAAAGGATGGAGGAGAAAATTGAGGAACAAAAGGCAACTATCCGTCAAGAAGTTGTTGCAGATGTCCTTGCAAGACTTCAGCGTTCAGGAATTGATATTGATGCTAATATTATTCTAGCGGCATTGGGTGATAATTCTCCTAGAGAAGCTTCTTCTGCACAACGAGCAACTTTGCAACCAATCCATCGTCCATCTACTGATAGCAACAAAGAAGGCCAACTCATTCGAGGTATTAATATTGCTTATTTTTTAGTTTATTCGATTTAGAATTATACTTGTTGATGTCAAGAACTATATATGAATATGATTTAACTTACCTGGAATGACAGTGGATAGATAGCATTCATTTCACAGATGTTTGAACTGTTTGAACAATTGACGATGGGGGCAGATTTTTGCATTATTACGCTTTGCAAACTTCTGAAGGGGAGGGGGGATGGCAGATTTTTGTATGAAAAGGCTACTCAGTTACATGCATGAACTTCATCTTTCTTTCTTATCATGAACTTCACCTTGAAAGTTAGACTGCCCTGTTGATTTCTCCGTTGGTTGCACAGATGCAACAGCTCAATCCCTAGTTGGTTTTAGCGCATCAGTAACCGTCATATTTGCACCTATACCAGTTGGTTTTATTGCAGCTCCTGTAACATTTCCTGACAATGCTAATGCCTTATCATTGATTGCACTATTAACAACTTTAGGACCTTGACAGCCCCCATCTGGACTGTCTATGTGTTTAACCAAATTTGCACCATTTTGAACATGTCCTGCCCCTCCTTGACAATTCTGCCCAGAAACAGCAACAACTGCATCAGCACTAGCCTTCAAAGCAACAGCTGGGAGTTTGAGTTTCAATGGACCTGCTGCATTACCTACTGATATTGCTTGATTATCAGTAGTTAAATCCAACACTTGCACACTTGCACTTCAGTTGTTGGTTATAATGTTGTTTTTCGTAATAGCATATTCTGTTGTTGTTTTGGTTGCTGTCAGACATAATATTGTTTAGGTAGACAGTTTAGGTTCATTCTGTTTTTAGGCTCATATTGTTATGGCTCATATTGTTTAGGCTCATTCTATTTTTATTTTGGTTCCTAAGATTGACACCCATGCCCACTTTTGCTAGTAAAGGCATATGAATATGTGGTTGCATTAATCTTAGAGTAGACATTACTGGAGGCATCATCATTTGAGACTCCATGTTTCTTGTATTGCTTATCAACTGAATTTGTGCTTGAAGCTGCTTTAAGTACTTTATGACTCAATAATCCTATAAATTTTGTTTAATTATTTCTCATTGTCTTTTGTAGGTGAAGGGATTGCGGATGAAAGCAGTGACGAAGACCTTACTTGAGTGTTGTTGATCGTTGTTAGACTTTCTATTATTATGTTTAAGGATATTTTAGTTTAGAATTTTTTGTATGCAAACTCATCTATTTTGACTTTTGAATTTTTGACCAAACAATGTATCCATATTTTGTTTTTTGTACATGGATAATGCTAGTTGGATATGGTGTAAACAATTTCATAGAATAGGAAAATATTTCATTTTGCTTCCATAAATTTTGAAAATTATAATTTGTTGCAATAGAGAATATAACCGTTCCAATAGACCTAGCAAATAATAAGAGTAGCCCTTAATAACCATTCCAATATGTCACAATATCTGTTTTTTTTTTGGTAATTAGGAAGCTTTTTATTACCACTTGCAAATATTTACATGTATAATCAGAATCAAACGCTAAGTTTGGACATATGGCCCCAAACTTTGCACATCATTTCTAACCATCTATCTTCAACTAAGCTATGGGTAAAAATTCCTATACTGTAGTTCTTTCTTCAGACTACTATGTATACTTCCTCGACAATGCACTTCACGTATAATCTGTTTGTGATATCCCCACTTCCTCTCTTCACTTGTTGAAAAATTATGCAATTTCTTTCAATCCATACATTGTAAACTGCACCAGCCATGCTCAATCTGTATAGGTCTGCTTTAGCACCCTTTCCAGTTACATTTCTTGTGGCCCATTCAACTTCATCTTCCCAGCTATATACTTGCCTTGTTATTCCCAGCCATGTTAGCACCTTACTCCATATCTCTGTCGAGTACTTGCAGGAGAAGAAGAGATGTTGATGGCTCTCCACCTCTTGCTAACACAATGGACAGGTTTGCTCTACTTGTATCCCCCATTTGCTCATTCTGTCTTTGGTAGATAATCTCTTCTCTAGTGCTAATACATAATAAAGATCCATTTTGGGCACCCTTTATTGTTACAAATCAGTTTTTTCCAGCTTATACTTCCAATTGTAAAGTCTCCACGTAGTTGATGATACATGCTGCTGATAGAGTATGTTTCGCCATCAGGATCTTTTCTATCTCTAATCCTGCTTCAGTTATATACTTTGCTGCATGTAAAATCTTCTTCATTATCTGTTGCAATAGGGTACTGATAAATGTTCCAATATATCACAAAAACTGTAGCAATATATCACGCAAAATCGTTGCAATAGACTTAAAAAAAATCAATTGTATTATTATACCACAACGGTTTATAACCGTACCAACAGAAAAGAAAATCGTTCCTATAGATAGGATAATGGTAGCAGTCCAAACCGTTACAATATCCTTATCTATGAAGACGTTCAAACCGTTGCAAATAACCGTTCCAATAGACCTATTGTAACGCCGAATCCCGGAACGCGTCCAAATCCATTCCAATAGACCTATAGGGACGGTTAGCGTATCTATTGCAATGGTTTTCGAAGGGTTGCCATAGCTGTAATTTCTAGTAGTGTCAAGCAAGTCTTGCAACTACTCTTTCAATTCTTTCAACTCAGGCGGGGCCATACAATATGGCGGATTAGAAATGGGCTGAGTGCCCGGAGCCAAATCAATGCAGAAGTCAATATCCCTGTCGGGCGGCATACCCGGCAGGTCTGAAGGAAATACCTCAGGAAACTCGCGAACCACGGGCACAGAATCCATAGGAGAAT